AGAAAGAAAGAAACAAAAAAAGAAACAAACAAACAAAAGAAATACTACTAGAGCTAAAATCGCATATTATTGACCCACACATGGTTATAGTGGGTGACTTCAATACCCCACTATTGGCAGTAGACAGGTCATCTAGACAAAAACTAAACAGAGAAATAATGGAACTAAATGAAGTCATAAATCAAATGGACCTAACATATTTATAGATAATTTCATCTAAAGACAATATATATATATATATATATTCTTGGCACCTCATGGAACTTTCTCCAAAACTGACCACATATTCAGATACAGAGCAGCTTCCACAGATACAAAAAAAATTGAAATGACAACCTGTATCCTATGTGACCCTGACAGATTAAAGCTGGACGTAAGAAACAACAGAAAGCTTACAAATCCATGGAAACTAAACAACTCACTACTGAATGAAAAATTGGTCAAGTCAGATCTTGAGAAGAAATTAAAACCTTTTTAGAATTGAGTAAAAATGAAAAGACAACAGATACAGACTTAAGGACACAATGAAGGTGGTTCATAGCACTAAGTGGAAAGATCTCATATCAGTAATTTAACATCACAACTGAAAGGTCTAGAGCAAAAAGAAGAAATAATGTCCCAAAGGAGTAGATGGCAGGAAATGATCAAACTGAGGACTGCAATCAATAGAACAGAGACCAAGAGAACAATACAAACAATCAAGGAAACGAAGAATTGGCTCTTTGAGAAAAATATAAGATTGACAAACCCTTAGCATAATTATCTAAAAGGAAGAGGGAGAAGATCAACCAATTAGAGGTAAAAGGGGAGACATAGCCACAGGCACCGAGGAGGTCCAGAGCATCATCAGGACACACTTTCAAACCTGTACTCTAACAGATTGGAAAGTCTAAAAGAAACATAATTTTCTTGATGTACACCACCCACCAAATTAAATCGAGATCAGATGAGCAGGTTAACACTCCTGACACCCACATAGTACAAACACACGTGATAAGTAAACATAATAAAAGGACATGCTACTAACAAATTGCTGTATCATTTATAAAATAAAATACAAACCAGAAAAGATACATGCCTGAGAATAGAAGAGATGACTTATATAAATGAAATAAGCAGAAATCACAGCGCCAGGTGTTAGGACAGCTTCAAAGTCATCACGATTAAAACCCATGGATGAGTGCACAGTCGGTCTGAACACAACTGCGGCCCAGAAATAGAGTCCAAAACAGAGAGCATGCATGTCATTGGAGGAAGCTCAGTATGGCACAGACAGCATGAAACATTTAATGAACAGTTACATGGAAATGAGCTCACTTGTTTCAGTGACTTAAAGATATTAGTTCTCAACTCCTTACTGCATTTAAGAGTCCCTCCAGAGAAGACTTAAATAATTGTGACATATAAAACTGTGGTATGAAAAGAAGCAAGTATAAAAATATAGTGTGTTTGTGATTTGTGAGCAAACAAAAGTAGAAAACTCAAAACCATGACTTTAAGTGGTGAAAAATGGATCCAGCTTAGTCGTTCTGAAGAAAGACACTTATAAAAAAAAAATCACAGACCGAACTGACAGATAGGAAAAAAAAAAGTAAAAAGAATACATTTAAATTCCATGCCTGAAAAACAAAACAAAACAAGAAAAAAGCCCAGGAAGAAAGTCAAGATCAACCACAGGTTAGCTGAGAGATCAAACTTGTAAGAGATGCCTGGTCACCCACTAGTGGCGTGTACCTAAAGAAGTGAGAACCAGATGACAAACGTCCCCTTGATGTCACCCCACAGATCAGCAGAGGCACACAAACTCTATAAAGAATGAGCAGGAAGGAGCGTCCCCCCCCCCAGCTGTTAACTGGGAAGCAAACATAAACTTCAGTGAATGTAGATGTACAGATTTCCTCCCATTCCTGCCACCTGTCCCATAGATACTGTCCCTTGTACAGAGAAAACCATGCCTGAGGGTCTGTGACAGCACAGGCACCTACCTCCTCCAGAGAACTTAGTAAGTGGCTCTCAGAGTGTGTGCATGACAGACAGACACTGGATAGCCTAGCAGGAAACAATCCCCTCTCAAAATACATCTTTGGAGCTGGATTGATGGCTCAGCAGGTGCTGTGCAAGCATGGGGACCTGAGTTTGATCCCCAGCACCCACTTTAACCCAGAGATGCTGCACACACCTGGAACCCCACCTAGTGTCCCTAAGACAAGATGGGATGTGGAGGAGGCAAGGGGACCCCTGGAAGCCCATGGGCCAGCTAGCTCGGTGGCCACAGAGGGAAACAATGCGTGGCCCTTCTCAGGCAAAGTGGAAGGTGAGGACTGGCACCTGAGGTTGACCTCTGACCTCTACACATACTGCTAAGGATATGCCCACACTCACAGCTGAATGTATCCACACTATGTACATATACACATTAAGTTTGCAAACTTCTAAAAACCACAAACACATAATATGTGTTTTCTCAGAGAAGGTGTATGCTTAAAAGAAAAAAAACCTTCATAGTCACTGCACTCACTATGTCCATACTTGGGGGGGGCATGGCTGCCCCATAAAGACAGATGCTTCAAAAGTGCCAGGGGCTGTGTGTGTGGGCATCTCAGTCCAGGTCCCTGAATCTCACCAGGAGACCCCTACCCTCATCCGTCCCCCAAATGCACAGTCCAGCCAAACACTCTGGTTCCATTCCCAAACATCTCTGATCTAGTTCTGTTAAGTAACTCTACCTTACTTTTTGTTTTTACTGGATAAGAGGTTTTAAAATAACAACCCTGGCATTTGCTCAATGGTTAAGTTGATTAAATTGCACTTACTGAACTTGTCAATTATTGGACTATGCCCAGGGTAAAGTCAAACACACTTATTGATTGACCAATGGACAAGTCAGGGGAACCACAGAATCACTCAGACAGAATTGGACTACCACCTCGATGTCAGGAGGCTGTACCTCTCTGACCAGGAAAATATGAGGCTAATTAATGGGGGTTTCCTGCTGCCCAGGACATTTTCTAGCCTACAGGAAAGTTGGGGTTTCCAGTTTAGGAATTGTTTGGATTAAATATTGAAAATCAAGTAGGCTTTAACTTCCATGCTCACTATGAATATTTTAGGAAGGAATGGTGCTGTTGTTATTGCTGTAGCGTTGTGTGTGTGTGTGTGTGCCTGTGTGTGTGTGTGTCTGCATCTGTGTGTCTGTGTCTTTGCTTGTGTGTGTGTATTTGTACTCATGTGTGCAGAAGAGGATGTCAGATCCCCTGAAGCTAGAGTTACAGGCAGTTATATGACATCTAATGTGAGTTCTAGGAATCAGACTCAGGTCTTCCATAAGAACAACAAGCACTCTTAACCACTCAGCCATTTCTCCAGTCTCCAAAAGTGTTATTTTTCTAAGTCTTTCCTTCATAGTAATCTTTGTATTTTATATTTTAAGTTTTACTTCCAAGTGGAGGTCCTTTTCCATAGAATATAAAACATGAATAACTTTTTAAGTGTCTATACAGTAAGCCTGTATAGACACTTTATCCTAAAGGGCATGTGTGTGTGTGTGTGTGTGTGTGTGTGTGTGTGTGAGAGAGAGAGAGAGAGAGAGAGAGAGAGAGAGAGAGAGAGAGAGAGATGTCTTGAGTTCTCTCATTGTTCACAGCTACGCACATCAAACTACTTCATGGATGTTTCTGGCCTCTGTCTTTGTGTTGCACTGCTTTATGTCAACTTGACACAAGCTACAGTTATCAGAAAGGAAGGAGCTCCATAGGATCAGGCTGTAAGGCGTTTTCTCAATTAGTAATCCATGGGAGAGGGCCCAGTGCATTGTGGGTGGTATCATCCCTGGGCTGTAAGTCCTGGGTTCTATAAGAAAGCAGGCTGAGCAAGACACGAGGAGCAAGCCAGTAAGCAGTACCCCTCCATGGCCTCGGCATCAGCTCCTGCCTCCAGGTTCCTGCCCTGCTTGAGTTCCTGTCCTGACTTCCTTTGACGATGAACAGTGCTGTGTAAGTGTGAGCTGAATAGCCTCTTCCCTCCCTAAGTTTCTTTGGTCATGGTGTTTCATCACAGTGACAGTAGCCATCCCATCTCACTGTGAGGGCTTTAGGATTACAGATGCTACCATGTCTGGCTTTTACGTGGATCCTAAAGACTCACACACAGGTCTTCAAGGTTGTGTGGTATAGGGGACTGATGAAAAATGTCCTCCATAGGCTCATGTACTTGAACATCTGGTGATGCTGCTTGGGGAGGTTATGGAACCTTTGGGGAGGGGGTGCAGCCTTACTGAGAAAGTGCATCACTGGGGGTGGGCTTTGGGAGTCTAGCCTCAGCCCACTTCCAGTTCATTCCCCCTGTGTCCTATTGTGTGCACAAACTGCGATCAGTCAGCTTCCCACTCCAGCTGCCATGCCATCTCCACCATTATGAACTCTCCCTCCAGAACTGAGTCAAAGTGAGCCTCTCTTCAGTTGACCTTGGCCATGGTATTTTATCACAGCAGTAGAAAAGTGATTAATACACATGGCAAGCTCTTTACCCATGAAGTCATTTCCCTAGCCGCTATTCCATTACCTCTTAACAAAAGACTTACTTTTAAATTTTTAATTATCGGTGTGTATGTATACACATGAGCATGGGTGCCTGTGGAGGCCGGAAGAGAGCACTGGATTCCCCAAAGCTAATGTTAGAGAGGGTTGTGAGCCACCAAATGTGGGTGCTGGGAACCAAACATAGGTCCTCTGCAAGAACAGTAGAACTCTAAACCACTGGGCCACCATCCCAGGCCACGTCTCTTTATCCTAAAGGGCATGAAGCCCAAAGCTTTTATCCTGGGATTTGATAACTTCCCAAGTTTTATAACCCACACAGATCACTAACACGTAAGTCTCCCGTCCCGGGAAGGCACATGTAGATAGAAGAGGCAGTATGGGTGTGGTCCCATGCAAGCCTAGTAGATAGACATGGTTAAAGGTAGTCATGAGCCTATTGGAAGGTGTCTGCTCGTGCCTCACCGTGCCTTCCGGGTCCACCAACAGCAGGTGCTTGGCCTGGCCATTGTGCATGCCTGTGAGGACAAAGGAACCAGGGTTGGTAGTACTCTTTCTGACCAGGAAGTCTCCATCTTCCAGCAGCAGTGCCTCTGCCTCCTTCCTGCTCATCTCTCCTTGGTACCAGGGCTCAGCATCCAGCTCCTCCAGCATCTTGGCATCTGGGGCTCTGGGTGAGACAGGACTGATGCACTCCACAGATGCTGCTTTGCTCAGCACTGGCCCCAGGGGCTGGTTCTTGAGAGCATCTTCAAAAGGCTCTGTCAACAGCATATGACAGCAACAAATCAATCCCCGGAAGAGTGAGCAATAAAAATAGAGTGAGAGATGAGAATTAAAATGTAACTCTTGACGAAGGCTGGCAACAGAGACGGATAGTCGGAACTAGAATTTAAATGCACCGCCCAAATTTTGGCATGGCTCTCTGGTGAGTCTACTTTCCAGACAGCTGGGGGTTGTGCCTGGTGCCAAGGATGTGAGCACATGTCCAGCTGGAGAGAGGGATTTTAATGTTGCACACCACAAGAAGGCAGGTACAGCTTGCCATTTCGCAGCTTTGCCTTCTCTGAACCACTGGCCAGCCTCCTTAAGAAAGCTGTCCCTTCCCTCCTTGACCCTTGCGCCCTGCAGCATTCGGGAAAGTGAGCCCTGCACCTCTCCTGGACAGCACAGTAGAGCTGACCCTGTTGACAGGGCACTGGTGAGCTGCCAAGAATGTGAGCATGGGAGATCTGGCCCTGCCCCTCATCAACCATAACGTGGAGTGGGCAAGAGAGAGATGCCACCCCCGGCCCCTTGCCACCTGTAGCAGGTGGGAGTGCTGGCCCTGAGTTCATGAGAGCTGGAGATCTGGCCCTGCCCCTCACCAGCTGCAGCACTTGGGAGAGTAGCTCCTGCACCTTGCCTGGGCAACATAGTAGAGCTGGCCCCGGTGGCGTAGATGTGGGTGAGTCAACCCTGAGGACATGAAAGCAAGAGAAATAGCCCTGCCCATTATCCCTTGCTACATAGAGTGAACTAACTGGAGCAACGCTGGAGAGCTCACCCTGGTGCTGAGGATGGGGGACGGATGGTGGGCTGACTAACCCTGCACCCACCTAGGGCCAGAACTAGGGCTATCAGTTGGCCCACCCCCAAATCCACCCCATCTGTGATCTGCTGGAGCACATGAAGGGGCAGGCCCTGAAGACCCAAAGCTGCAGGATCTCCATGACTCAGTGCAGCAATAGAATATCCAAGAGGAGACCCAGTGAGGACCCAGCATTGATAGCATAGCAGAAACTAGAGTCCTCGAACCAGACCAATGACTTCTTTGCAATAAGCACTTGCAAGTAAAGATATATAAACTAAATGCTACACAGTGTGACTCACTGTATCACACTACAAATTCCACAATTAGATTTTTATTTTTCTCTTTTCTAACTTTACTTTTTCTCTTTTCTCTTAAATCTTATTTTGTTTTGGGTGGAGGTTACAAGGGCAGACAGAGGATATGAAAAGATGGGGAGATGAATGGTATCAAGAGGCATGATGTGTAAGAGACAAAGGATGGAAAGTTAAAAGGAGGAGGAGGAGGAGGAGGAGGAGGAGGAGGAAAGAAGAAAGAAGGAAGGAAGGAAATAAAGAAGAAAGAAGAAAAGACAGAAAGGAAGGAAGGAAGGAAGGAAGGAAGGAAGGAAGAAAGAAAGAAAGAAAGAAAGAAAAGAAAGAAACCCTGTATACAAACTTGTCAATACCAAAGGAAACCATGCCATGAAACTGATTCCATGAAAACCCCAATGTGCCACAGATTTCCTTCGAAACCCCTGGTGCCTCTTGTGGACTTGCTCCAAGATAGGAGCTCTACTTTGCCTTGACCTTCACTGGTATCTGAGTCTTGACATCACACTTGGCTTAATCTGCTCTGGAACAGACTTCTTACTGTGTAGCATACCAGCGAGTGCTCAGACCACTGTGATTACCAGCACATATCAGTGGCAAAACAATTTGCTAAGTACATCTAATTAAATGCCAGTGTGTGATTTTCCAGGCAACAGGGACATGGTAAAAGCACTGAATAAAAAAGGTGTGCCATGTTGGGTTGACACTGTGAGTTTAAAATGCGTGCAAGCGCAACAAGAACTAGAGTGTTCTCTCTTAAACAAAGCTCCACCCCAGAGTCTCACGTTGTTTCTGGGATACCCATCGGAACTCTGTAACTACTCGGTGAATGGTGTCAAACAAGACACCAGAAGTTAAGAAAGGATGGGGAAAAAAGGAGGGCACATCAAAGTAAAATCTTTTACAAATGTGTGGAAGAAAAGTGATTTAAAAACCATTGGATAAAAGCTAAAATGATAATTTTTTATGTTCTCTCTGTGTGTGTGTGTGTATGTGTTTGTGCACATGCATGTGTGGGCATGCATGAGCAGACCAGATATTGGTGCTGGGTGTCTTTTTCAATTGCTCTCCACCTCATTCTTTGATACAGAGTTCCTCACTAAACCTGGAGCTCCACTGGGCTGGCTACCTAGTCTTAGGCATGCTCCTGTCTCTGCCTTCCAGGGCTGAGATTGCAGATGTGTGCTGCCACAGCTGGCATTTTTACATGGGTTCTAGAGGATGGAACTCAGGTCACTGTACTTGTGCAGCAAGCACATTACTGATAGAATCGCCCCCTCCCCCATTCCTGGGCTTTGCTTTTATCCTACTTTCAAAAATCTGATTATGTGGAGTACTAAACTCTGCATTCTGCTGTTTCTGCACCATCACCACCTTGCTATCTCCATCACCAGCCATCATCACTATCACTGCCAACACTAACACACTGCCTATTACACTACAGACATTAACACCACTAGCGGCATCACCACCATTATTGACATCAGCACTACCATAATAACTAACATCAGCAGTATCATCACTAAGACTACCAGCATCACTATCACCATCATCACTAACATCGCCAGCATCAGCACCACCTCCCTAATCAGTTACATCACCAGCAGCATCACCCTCATTGCTAACATCACCAGCATTAGCCACCACTATCATCAACAGCATTGTCACCACTACTACTATTTAGCAGCAGTGTTTCAGGATATAGAGACGTAATGTCCATACTTCTAAACAGACAATGATTTTTTTGACCTGTTGTCTCCTTTCTAGCATCACTTCCCTTATTTGGAAAAAAAGAATAGAAATTAATTGGTGGGGGTAAGAGGGCTCTAGACTTCATTTTCCTCAAAGCTCAGCCATATAAATTCTCTTCAGGCTCTCTACTCAAGATCACTGGTAAATTTACTAAATTAAACAGTCTGCTCATACTCAAAGCCTCCAGCCTGAAGTTTAGAGATACTACAAGAACTCAAGCTGAAGTCATGCATGGTGGCATGTGCCTGTAATTTCCAGTGGTGGAGCAACAGGACTGCTGAGAGTTCAAGCTATAGAGTGAGTGTCGCACTAACCAGGACTACAGAGAAACACCTTGTCTCACAGCAAAGCAAAGGAAAACAAAAACAAAAAATTAAATAAAGAAACCCTGAAGCCTGAGCTGAAGAATCACTGCTTGGAAAACAGTCCTACACTTCTTGGTCTGTTTTCAATTTTTTTCATGAAAAGAATGGATTATGTGATCCATAATCTACCTCCAAGCCCTGCCCCTCAACAGCTTTTGGTGGGAGTTCTGCATGTATGTGAAGTCACAGTGGCCAGGAGAAACTAGTTACAGAGGCTACAATGTTGCTTCATCAAAAAAGTGCCGGGGTCTATCCTCACCCTCACAAGACACTGTGAACATCAGTGATGGACTGGTGGGGCTGCCTTTGGTATGGGTCCAGGTTACTTAGCCACTACGACTTTCCTTTTCCTTCTCTGCAGAGTAGGGGTGGTGATAGTAATAACCAAAGTTCTCTGTGCATAAATTAGGTAGTGAGTGTCCAGTAAGTGGCAGTCAGGGTCGGTTCTTCCAGACTCTCTTCCATCCATCAACTTCTCAGAGAATTAAAGCAGGAGAGTTTAAGCTATGGGGCTGAGAGATTAACTCAGCTGGTAAAGTATTTGCCTCCCAAGCATGAGGGCATGGGTTTGATATCCAGAACCTATGTCAGGCCCTTGGGGCTGGAGAGATGACTCAGTGGTTAAGAGTAATTGCTGATCTCACACAGGATCCAGATTCAACTACCGACACCCACATGATGGCTCACAATCTCCTTGAACTTCATTTCCATGGGATCTGACACCCTTTTCTGATCTCCACAGCCACCAGGTATGCATGCGGTGCAGGCAAAAACACTCAAGATACGTAAAAATAAAAAATAAAGATAAATTAAAAACAAAAACAAAAAAGGCAAGCAGGTATGTGCTTGCAATCCCAGCAGTGAGGAGGTGTAGACAGGCAGATCTACTGGCCAGTCAGACTAATCTAGTTAGCAAGTTCCAGGCCAAGTGAGTGACCTTGGTTCAAAAACAAGAGAGTGTCTTGTGGAATGACACTCAAGGTTAGACTATGGTCTACACATATACAATATACACTCAGGCACTCTCTCTCTCTCTCTCTCTCTCTCTCTCTCTCTCCATATGTATGTGTGTGTATGTATATGTAAGTATGTATGTTTATATTCATGAGCTTCCAAAACTCTCTCCAAGTTTCTACTCACTGCATTTCAGTTCATGAATGGCATGACTTTCTGTCACCATGTATCAAAGAGCAAGTCCACATGACAATGTCAGCTGATACTGCCAAGTCCAGTGGGTTCCCACCTTTCCCTTCTGTACAGCCCACTGCTGAGCATGCCTCGCCCCCCTGACAGTGCATGATTGGTTGGTAAAGGCCATCTGTGTTTGACACATGGTGAGAACTGGGTAAATTCTGGAGGAGGTTGGGAGGAAGAATGAGAGGGGAGATGAGAGCAAATGGATGGAGCAGGGAGGGAGGGGCAAGCAGAGAGGGAGGGGGAGGGGAGGACTGACAGGAGGGAGAGAGGAGGCAAGCAGAAAGGGAGGGGGGGTTGACAGAGGGACCATACTGTGAACAAGGTATACAGCAATTTCTCATCTGAATATCCTTGCTGATAGACTGAGATCTCTGACCATGGCCAAGTCATCTCTATATCCTCTAAAATCATGCAACAATTAGTACAGCCAATTAATATTCAAATGAACTTGCATATTTATATCTTCAACAGGAAAACCAGTTTCCCTAAGAAAACTGCACTGAGAAGATGTGTAACCCCAACACCTTACTTGAACCCAATCAAAGAAAATCCAGCAGTGATACGAACATTGAATAAAAGGCAGCATAGGGACAGCATGGACACCTACTCATGTCAAAGAGGTCCTTCCGTGGGCTGCTCTCGGTGCTGCTGCTTGCTGCTGGCCAAGCCTGGGGAGGGATTGGCTGGGTGTTGACATAGGTTGGTGTCTCTCCTACAAGAGTCATGTGTGTTTTCCCTTCCGGGGTGCTATAGATGTCCAAGGAACCTGCACCAAGAAAAGTGAGCCCTGTTACCTCTTAAAATGGCAACACTATTTCAGCCTCTGTGACTGGGTTACCCAGAATTCCACAGAGCAGCTCCTCAAGCTTGCTGGTGAGAATGTTTACTCATGGTTAATTCTCTCTAAGCCTATGAGTACCAGCTCTCAGTCAAGATACTTTTCAGTCCTCCCTGGCAAAAAAAAAAAAAGAAAAAAAGAATTTGCCAGCCAGGATGGGCACTAGTGGTTAAAAGCCTTGCCCAATATTGCCGACCATGTTTGGTGCTCTCGGACCCTGGGAGCTGAGCATTGAGTAACACTGCCTCAATGTGACCTCCCAGTGAGCCAAAGGCGTGCTGAGGCCGGGTCTGGGGGTCTCAACTGTTTTGTCACCTACAGGTAATGTGGAAAGTGCTGCCCAAGAGCACCTGCTCGGGTCACTCTCAGTGTGTGACCGTCTCTGCTTTGCTTGTATAGCAGAAACCTTGCTAATGCTCCTTTGGGAAGGATGGTTACTGGCAAATAGATGAATAAATTCTTGTTTGTTCTGGGAGAATATATCTACTTGTTTCAAATAAGATCTTGAAGCTAGGTGAGTTGACTCATGCCTGTCATCCCACTTCTCAGAAGGCTACAGCAGGAGGATCACTGCAAGTTCAAGGCCAATCCAAACTATATAGCAAGATAACTTTGCATCACTAAACACTAGAAGAAACTTAAAAACTACAAGAGAAATCAAATATGGGCCTAGGACATACTGAGTTATGGAGTCTTGGGTGCCTGTTGAATGTTCATTTTCCTGATGTCTCCAGGGACTTTTGCTCCTACTCACAGGAGTCGGAGAGACCCATGGTCAGTGCTCTTACCTTGCCGGGTGGGTGCTCGCTGCCAGTCTTCACCAAATGTGTCTCCTAAGTGTCTTCCCTGGTAATAAGTTTGCTCTTTCCCTGCAAACTAGAGGCATAGGTTGACACTCAGAAAGCAGGAAGCATCTTCTCATTCCTCATCTTTGTGAGCAACTGTGTGGTGGGTGTGGTTTTGGGGGTTGGTGCCTCCTCTCGGACACCCACCCTTCCATTCCTGCCTCACAGTGGCATTGTATTTGACAGACAAGCTTGCATGGTTGTAAAAAACAAATCCACAGTTTCATTGATGCTACAGTCCTCCCCTTGTTTTCATGATCCCCATAATTCCTCCCAAGGGCCACCAGAGAGAGATCTTGTCCCAGCAGCCATGCATTCTCAGAGAAGCACACTCCCTGAGAACCAGGAAGCTGCAGTGTCAGAGTCTTGGTGTCAGTGTTGTCCTAAAATTTTTATTGGTACCAATAACCTTATTATATCCTTATTATAACATTATTATATCCTTAATATATCACTCAGCTCACCAAGCATATGACTCTGGGTCCCACCCCTAGCACCAGAAAAGAGAGGAAAAAAAATCTTTTAAGCTTCCATAAAAGATGGAGATATAATAGTTTTAGGAAGCAATTTTGACTGACAGATTGTTTGAGTTGGACTGCTTGATGGTTTGTTTTAACTGACAGCTTAACACAACCTAGAAGAGACGAGTCTAGGAAGGGAGTCTCAGCGGGGAACTGTGCACTTCAGCTGGTCTGTGGGAATATTAACGGGGGATTTGGCCTTTTAAGCAAGTTGATGTGGAAGCCCAGGCCACTGAGTGCTCTGCCGCTTCCTAGGCAGGGACACCCGAGCTGACTACGAGTGGAGGAAATGAGCCGACCACAAGTGAGCATGGGAGGATTCGCACACATCTCATCTCTCTGCTCTTGACTGTGCTTGTTGCTTCAGGCTCCTGCTCCGGGACTTCCCCACAGTGAGGGACTGTAACCTGCTACTGTAAGCTGGCATAAGCACTTTGTCCCCACAGTTGGTTGGCGTCAGGGTATTTTATCATAGCAACACAAATGAAACTAGAACAAAGTAGGGGATAAACAAAATAGGAAAAAAAAAAGATGCATGACATTCCCACACCTCCAGGGGGATGGATCCACTCTTTTCAGGGAACCCACAGTATCATGGGCCTTTGAAAAGCCTGGAGTCCTGATACCCCCTCATTAAGACCACAGCATGGTGGAATCAGTGCTAAGATTTAGGCTACTTTCACTCCTGTCTCAGACGTGGCACTGTGGTTCTGAGGTACTTGATCAGTGCACGGCGGTGTCAAACCGAACCCCCTCCTTTCCATGTGATTTGTGATATCAGTGGGGAAAGCCTGTGAGGGATTGTGTCAAAAGCTAAGTGGAAAAACCAGCCAGAAACAACACTGAAGAGGATAAATGCAAATGGGGGTCATCTTTTACCCAAAAAGAGAACCCCAAACTTACCTGGACTGCATCCGGACCATGGGGTCTGGCTTTCAATCGAGCATCAAGAAACCCTCCTGGAGGAGGCATCTTGCTGGGGACACTGTTGTAGTATGGGTGATCAGGGCCATCTCCCTCCTCTTCAGTCCACGGCTCATCTAGACTCTGCATTCTGTTAAAGGATTTTCAGTGACTGTCACCAACATTGAGCACACAGGCTGACCTAATCACTCTGACATCAGTGCAGTGATAGAAACAAAACACTGAATGGTTTAAGTATGGTCTCTAACACACATGAGTTCATGTGTTGGAGGCTTGGTCCCCAATGTAGTAATATTAAAAGGTGGTGGCACCTTTAAGAAGTGGAGTCTCTAGGCTACAAATGAGACATCTACATCAATCCATCAGTCACAACCCTCCCCACTGCTCCAATACTTAGGGACAATTGCAGAAGAGCAGGGTAGAAAGATTGTAAGCCCCAAAGTTTGGGGAGGTCCAGAGGAAAACAATGTCTCCTGGACAAGACAGGGCCACCACACTCATGAACTCAAAACAAGTTGTAATTAACCTGGACAACATCAAGCCAGTAAACATTTTAACATGGTGTATGTATGTGGGGGGGGCACTGAGCAGCTACTGACAGTTGATGGCTTCTGGGGAGGAACCCTCATTTTTATGGGTGTGGCCCTGGTAGGTTCCTGTGTTCTAGTGGATGGTCCCATACCCATGAACACAAACTGAAATCATCAGGTTATTTTAAAAGATAAAATATCCATGCAACAGAAGCAGAAGGGTCATTGCCAAACTCTTTCTGCAAGGCGTCAATAACCTTGACACCCAAGCCACACAAAGATACTCTCTAAGAAAGAGAACTTGAGACCAATATCCCTCATGAACATTGATGTAAAAATACTCAATAAAATACTGGTAAATCGGATCCAAGAACACATTAGAAAATTCATCCACCATGATCAAGTAGGCTTCATTCCAGGGATGCTGGAATGGTTTAACATACAAAAATCCATCAATGTAATCCACCATATAAACAAGATGAGAAACAAAAATCACATGATCATCTCTCTAGATGCTGAAAAAGCCTTTGACAAAATCCAACACCCCTTCATGATAAAGGCCTTGGAGATACCCTGGATAACAGGAACTTACCTTAACATATTAAAAGCTATATACAGCAAACCAACAACTCAAACTAAATGGACAGAAACTCAATGCAATTCCTCTGAAATCAGGAACAAGACAAGGCTGTCCACTCTCTCCATACCTTTTCAATATTGTCCTTGAAGTTCTAGCTAGAGCAATAAGACAACAAAAGGAGTCAAAGGGATACAAATTGGAAAGGAAGAGGTCAAACTTTCACTATTTGCAGATGATATGATACTTTACATAAGTGGCCCAAAAATCTCTACCAGGGAACTTCTACAGCTGATAAATACCTTCAGCAAAGTGGCAGGATACAAGACCAACTCAATAAAATCAGTAGCCCTACTACATACAGATGATAAAAGGGTGGAGAAAGAAATCAAAGAAACATCACCCTTTACAATAGCCACAAACAACATAAAATACCTTGGGGTAACTAACCAAACAAGTGAAAGACCTGTATCACAAGAACTTTGAGCCTTTAAAGAAAGAAATTAAAGAAGACACCAGAAAATGGAAAGATTTCCTATGATCTTGGATGGGTAGGATCAACATAGTAAAAAATGTCAATTTTACTGAAAGCACTATACAGATTTAACACAATCCCCATTAAAATCCCAGGACAATTCTTCTCAGACCTTGAAAGAACAATTCTCAACTTCATATGGAAAAACAAAAGACCCAGGATTGCCAAAACAACCCTGTTGAACAAGACAACATCTGGAGGCATCACCATCCCTGACTTCTAGCTATATTACAGAGTTATAGTCCTGAAAACAGCTTGGTATTAGCACAAATATACACAGACAGACCAATGGAATTGAATTGAACACCCCGACATTAACCCATACACGTATGAACACCTGATCTTTGACAAAGAAGCTAAAATATACAATGGAAAAAAGAAAGCATCTTCAGCAAATGGTGCTGGCAGAACTGGATTCTGGCATGTAGAAGAATGGGGATAGATCCATGTCTATTGCCATGCACAAAACTTAAGTCCAAATGGATCAAAGACCTCAATGTAAATCCAGCCACACTGAACCTGTTAGAAGGGAAAGTGGGAGGTATCCTTGAACAAATTGGTACAGGAGACTGCTTCCTGAACATAACACCAGTAGCACAGACACTAAGATAGACAATTAATAAATGGGACCTCCTGAAACTGAGAAGCGTCTGTAAGGCAAAGGACACAGTCAGCAAGACAAAAAAGCAACTCACAGATTGGGAAAAGATATTCACTAATCCCACATCTAACAGAGGGCTGATCTCCAAAATTTACAAAGAATTCAAGAAGCAAGTCTCCAAAACACCAAAGGATCCAATCAAAAAGTGGGGTATAAGACTAAATAGAGAATTCTCAGTAGAGGAGTCTAAAACGCCTGAGAGGTACTTGAGAAAGTGCTCAGTATCCCTAGCCATCAGGGAAATGCAAATCAAAACAACTCTGAGATACCATCTTACTCCTGTCAGAATGGCTAAAATCAAAAACTCCAATGACAGTTTATGCCTGAAAGGATGTGGAGAAAGGGGAACACTCCTTTACTGCTGGTGGGAGTGTCGACTTATACAGCAACTTTGGAAATCAGTATGGAGGTTCCTCAGGAAAATGGGAATCAGTCTACAACAAGATCCAGCAATTCCACTCTTAGGCATATACCCAAAAGATGCACATTCATACAAGGACGCCTGATCCACTATGTTCATAGCAGCATTATTTATAATAGCCAGAACCTGGAAGCAACCTAGATGCCCCTCAATTGAAGAGTGGATAGAGAAAATGTGGTACATTTACACAATGGAGTACTACTCAGCGGGGAAAAATGGAATCTTGAAATTTGCAGGCAAATGGATGGCACTAGAAGAAACCATCCTGACTGAGGTAACCCAGTCACAAAAAGGGAAACATGGTATGTACTCACTCATATATGGATTTTAGACATGAATCAGGGGAGTGCCAGCCTACAATCCCATGGCCAGAGAGTCTGGGAAACAGATCCTTCATCCAGTGACTGATGGAAGCAGAGGCAGACACCCACAGCTAAACACTGAACAGAACTCCTGGAATCCAGTCACAGAAAGGGAGAACTGATGAGCAAAGGAGTTAAGAGTGGGCTGGTTTAACTCACAGAAACAGTTGACCTGAACAAGGGGGAGCTCTTGGACCCCAGATTGATGGCTGTGTAGAAAGCATAGAACTGACCCAGACCCCCGAATGTGGGTGTCAGTGAGGAGGTCTAGGTAATCTATGGGGCACTGGGTAATATTTATCCCTGGCATACAAATAGACTTTGATGCCCATCCCAAAGTGAGGTATGCTCTCTCTCAGCCTGGACTCTTGTGGGAGAGCCTAGGCCCTGTCCTAGATGAAAGGACAGACCATGGAGGACCTCACCATCTCTGGGGATCAGAGTGGAGATTGGGTGGTGGACAGGGGGCCTGGTGGGGAGGGCATGAGAGGAGGGGAGGGAGAGGGAGCTGGGATTGACATGTGAAACAAGCTTGTTTCTAACTTAAAGAAAAGAAAAGGAATAGAAAAAAAGATAAAACAGAATAGGATGTTGGAAGGGGCGGGAAGTGGATCTGGGAGGAGGCTGGAGAGTGTAGGTGTGAATATGATCAAAATATTTTTGTGAGACTCTCAATGAATTAATAAAAATTATATTAAAAATGTGATATAAAAAAGAAGTGAAGTCTCATGGGGGAACCATAGGCCATTAAGGACACTCCCTCAGGAAGACTCATGGACCTGGGGGCTGTCTGGCTTCTTGTTTTAAGAAGTAATCTTCTCTTTGTTCTTAGGCACTTATGCCATGATGAAATGCATCCAAGAGGCCCTCAGCACAGCTGAACATACGCCAGCACTGTGTACTCTGCTTCTAAAGGAATGAGCTATATAGAACTCTTTTCCTCATAAAGCCAGCCTGACCCAGGTATTTTGTTATTATTTTTATTTTATATTTCTATATAGTGAGACAGGGTTTCCTGTATCCCAGGATTCTCTTGGGCTCCATACTTAGCCAAGGAAGACCTTGAACTTCTGATTCTTTGCTTCTACCTCCAGTGCCTAATTTACAAGCATAGGAAGTCATGCCCAGTTTATATGGTGCTGGAGATGGAACCCAGGGCCTCTTAGGCAAGCACTTTACCAATGGGATTACATCAAAGCTCTTGTTATAATACTGAAAAATGGATGAATACTGCACCTATGATTAAGAAAGGAATTATTCACCATTTCCTCGGTCATCTACATCTTGGGAATCTGTAAAAATGAGGTGAAAGGTTGAACTAAATCTCTCTTATTCAGAGATCTACTCATTGGACTATGTCAAGGGAATAATCACCTTTAATTGGAAAATAAAAAAATTACACAAAGAACACCAAAGCCTTAATATACATGTATGCATTTCAGTAAGCCATGAAACTTAAATAATAAAATCATATAAAATGAAGATTGCCTCACAACAAATAGCAGAGTGTGGACCTCTGAATTATCTTTCATACACTCAAAACTGGCCAGAGATTTTTGTTTGTCTGACTCAACTTTTCAGAATTCTGGAATTAATAAGAAGCTTGCAGCAACCCATAGGGTATAAAAACAAAAACAAACAAACAAACAAAACCCCTGAAAACTGGGAAGAGAGCCCAGCGGATAAGAGTGCTACCACATGAGCAAGAGGACATGAATTTGGATCCTGAGCAATCCTCTGAAAAGCTAAGTGTTAAAACTGCATGCACCTGAAACACCCACACCTGAGCTAGAAAGTGAAAGACACGGCCATTGTTGGAGCCTTCTGGTTACCTGTCTAGCTGGAAAACCGTGATCTCCACATTCAGTGAGAGATCCTGCCTCAAGGGAATAAAGTAGAGAGAGGTAGAAGATGACACCTGAAGTCTTCCTCTGGGTTCTTACATGAGTGTGTGCACATACACACACACACATACACACACACACACACACATACACACACACACACACACATACACACACACACTGAGGTTAACGTTATCTTG